GGAACAGGTATTGTGGATGCTGCAAAAGTCTGATGCCAGAACAGCCATTTTCAACCTAATAAGAGTTCTCCAGATATTTTCTGGCGAATTCTCCATTTTTTTCATCCTAATCAGGAAAATCTTCTCATTTTTTTTCTTTTTTCTCCAGATAAATAAAGACAAGGGCAGAAGTAGGAAGACAGTGTTTTGTAAGTTTGGCATCACTGGTATGTTTGCAATTCAGTGTTTTAAACACTATCAGACTTGCTCTGTTCAGACACAGTCTGTGAATTAAAAGATAAACGATAAGTTTACTTTTTGGGAATATTTGTCATCATGTCATACAGTTGTCAGGCTTACAAAATTAAGAACTTAACTGAGACTCTTTTCTAAAACCATGAAGCTCTTAGGACATTTATCAAAGTCACTGATATTTTTTAAATCTTTGTCTCAGAAATCTGCTTTTTCATATTATTGGGTTTTGGAGTGCTTTAGATTTGTCCTGGGATTTTGTCTACATCCCTTTTTGCATGCATCTTTGTAGTGTATTAAAAAAGAAGGCTCATTTTCAGTTTTTAAAAACATCTTTCATCTGACTTGAGTAGAAGACTATGATACTTAGATGTCATGAGTTTCTCAAAAGTGACATTAAGTTCCTACTTGTTGCTAATTAAAACCTTCCCAATTACCCTGGGAAATATCACTAGCACATTAAGTCTTTTGAGTCATACTTTTCGTTGAATATTTTCAAGTTGCACTTCTCCATATTCTCTTGCAAGATTTTAATATTTGTAATTGCTGTATGGAAAACAGCAGGTGCTTCTCTATCTCAAATAAGTGTATAGATTTTCAATCAGCTCATATTGGTGAAGTGATATTTAAATGAAACTAGATATTTTTAGAAAGATGATTTTGAGCTGAGTACTCTGTGTACTGTCAAATATTACTACCTTCATCATGGTACCATGTTATGATCTAATCAGCTTTGCCCCATGTGCGTGACCCTAGCTGAATGAGTTTTGACGGGATATGAGTTTTAATCGCTTTGCCATCTGCACTTTTTTCTGCATCCAAAATTCAGCATAAACTTTACAGGTGTAGCCAGTTGAGTTCACAGTTGGTCTTTTAGCTTGGATAATCTGCTCAATTTCCAGGCCTTTGAGCATTAAGTAGAGTAGAAACACTTTGCTTATTGTATTGTGGGTAAGATTCCTCATAGTGCTTTCTATAAAGTCTTAAACAAAAACCTAGATAGACCTTGAACAAGTGGGAGTGGGCAGCTCTCTGAGTAGCCATGAAAGCTGACAGTGCCATGGAAGCCAGGGCAGCTCCTTGTTCTCCAGGAATCGTTCTGATTAGGCCTTCCCCAGAGTTTCAGATATAAATGGGCTTTTCCATTCTCACTGATACAAAGTTTAGCTCACATTTTTGCTGACCAGTTGTTCTATAGGAGGGCTTCTCAGATTAAATATTACTCTTGATATTTAAAATAATTAGAAGCATCTTCTGGCATTTGTGATTTTCATAGCAGTTATGCTTTCAGATACAGTAGATCGCTTCAAATTGAATTCTAATGAGGTTTGTGTTTTCTGTTGCAGAAGTCAGATGCTGTAAGAGTCACCACCTTCACTGGCTGCATGGGTGAAACCTTTCTAGACAGCAAACCCATAGGACTATGGAATTTCAGGGATATCGAAGGTGATTGCAAAGGATGTGCTGTCAGGTAGGTAAAGCAATGACTGTTTCTCATGCTCCTTTGGGAAGCTGTCTGCAGTGACACCGCATTCTGTGGTAAGCAGCAGGAATTTCCACATCAGCCATCACGTTCCAGTAGACAGCTCTGGTCTGTAAGCAATGCTGAGAGCTGTAGGAAATATGAAGTTAGGTTACAGTAACACCAAGAGGGGAAGCACCTAATCTGGGTCACAAATGCAGGTGGTGTCCTAACAGAATTAAGATGGTATAACAGTGCTGTGATGGAAACACTCCTGCTAACCAGTAACCAGGATTAGTCAAAACATAAGAGAGGGTGAGAGCCACAGCGGGACTGAGTTTGGCTCAAGGACAGCTGTGGTGTGGGTGCCTGCACCTCTTAGGCAGCATGGGGCAGAGTCAGGTGCCTCAAGGTGGCTTTCACAGCCAGCAGTGTAGTGAGCTGAGACCCCCGCTAGGGAAAGGTGTTTCCATTCTTGAAAGAGAAAGGGAAGTCCTGTCCCTGTCAGTGACCTGTGATTCCAGGTAGGGTAAATGGCCCATCCAGGCAAGACTAGGATTCACATATGTAGGCTTAGAACTCTCTTCACGCACTTTAAAACAACATAAGTTACTTGCTTTCCAGATGTGTTCTTGTCCTTAGAGAGCTGTGATCTTCATTCCTCTTCCCACCAAATGAATCTCAAACGCTTTCCTGTGCCATATCTCAGCTTCAAAAGCTGAGGGCCCTTACACAGAGGCACCACCTGATACTACAACACAGTCCTGGGAATTACCATGTAAAGAAGACAGGCTCTGGGAGACTCTGGGTCTCTCACATGCTTGTTTATGGTTTTCACAGTGACCCACTTCATGAAAGCAGCACTGTTCTCTTAAACAGTCCTGGTTTTTTGGGTTTTGGGGTTTTTTTGTTTATTTGTTTTTGTGGTTTTTTTTTTTTAACTGCATTTGACAGTATCAGTATATGGTACAGAGTTCATGCTGCATTAGGTAAAATAATTGTAGACCCAGTCAGGGAAGCTAAGAGCAGGCAAGTTTTCAGACTAGCAGCCTGCTAAGGCCTAGCCCTTTGAAGGTGATGGAAATTGCAGTTGTGAACTGAAACAATTTTGGAAATACCAGAGGATTTCCTTGACTACAACTATAGGCCCTTGACACTTACATGGAAATTTAAGGACCATGATGATGGATATATGCATTTCAGTTCCAAGCACGTCCTAATGGAAATGCCTATATCTTTATGTGCATCCCTACCTAAATTTAATTTTCTCATTCATTAGTGATAGTGTAGACCTGCTTCCTTGGAGTGGGTGAGAGGAAGATTTAAAAAAAAGAATACTAGATTTGAGATTGTAGAAAACTGTATTAAAAGCTCCCTTTTACTTTAACCTATTGCTGCAGTACCAGAAAGAGTCTTGTTCTCCTGCGAACTCTAGTTGCAAAAACTTAACTGTTAAATGTAGCTATGGAAAGTGAGAGGATTGCATTCAAAATCCTTGTGTGTGTGCCAAGATAAACGGGAGACATGTTCCTGGCCACTATTTCACATGTAGGTCCCTTGTTCAAATTCAGTTATGTTTGTGATTAAACCAAAAGACTGCTGTCTTACAGCTGGAATTGGACAGAAATGGACAAAGACTCTGTCATAAAAATCATATCAAACAAACTCAAGGCCTGATCTTTTCTGTTTTGTAATGA